TGGCAAATACAATGGAAACTACTATCCACCAATCCCTCAATATGACTTCTTTTATGGTCCCCACAACTGGACACCATGTACATGTATGTATATACACCCAGTAATGTTTCTAAGGGACATTACATACACTCACCAACTGCCCGCAATACAACCCTACGTCATGTTGCGCCCAAACAATGAAGTCCAGGCTCTGGAGGCTGAAAAATGCAGTCCATGACTTCTTGAGGCATTGGCTAGGTTGGGCCCCCACCCACTACTAGTGACCACAAGAGGTAATGGTGGTTATATTAGGGTCCTTATATACCACTATTAATGGGTGGGGGCCCAACCCCAGGCATTGGGTTTTGAATGGGAGTTAGACATTGGACTCCAATGACGGCTTGAAGCTTGCAACCGCACAATAAGGCAGACTGGGAAGCATCATGCCAAGGAATAGTGTGCAGGCACAGCCTCATCATTACCTGACATCTCTCGCAGAGATAAGGAATGCAATGGGAGTCCCACGGTAAACTATCTGTAGCCCTCTTAGACTCTGAGACCTAATTATCTTGAACATGATCGTTGTAATTATTCCTTAGGGTATACTGCTTGTTCTACTGTAATGAAAATGAACAATAAGTCTCAAGGAAACTACAGCTATCATCAGTATGCCAAATTGTCCGCGACGAGCTTCCTGCAGGGAGTTATCAGTTTGTCTGCCAAAGCAGCATGCCCTTAGAGGAGGCCTAAACCCTGAGGTTTAGGGTTAAGGACCCGTAAACCCTGATGTCTATGCATAATTCTCCCGAAGTGGTCTTGAGGAAGCATATGAAAGATCAGCGGATTGTTTTGAAAAGTACTGCTAACAGCTTGACCCTTATACGAGCAACTACCTGCAACTTTCTAAAGTTCTAGTCCCCCTCAAGTAGATAGAATATGGGGTATATGGGGATCTTATTATAATATACCCAAAGCCATGTTCTATCTACGTAAGGGGGACTACAAGGTGCCAGAAACCGTTCAGACTCAAGCATGCGGAATCTAAAGACCCATTGTTTGGATACCTGGACGCATGGGGCTCTATCGACATCAGGAGGACTACTTGGAGGATCAGGGTGATTATAAACCAAGTACAAGTAGCACATATATCCCAATTTTTTGCCGCATTAGGAGACCTAGGCGGCTTGCACTTGAGTCCTGTGTACAGTTCTTATTGGCTTAGAACCACTCTCAACCTCCAAGTATCGACCGCCCCGATCTAAACCCTAAACCCCAGCGCGTTTTAAGCAACGTCAGGCCATGATTTGAGTTCCGTTGGCGCTCGTAGCTACCGGTTCCATGGGGGAGCTTCACGGAATCCTTTTTCCTGAGCTATGGTGATGACATATTTGAGCTTGAGGTCCACAGCCCAGATATTTCTCCAAACCCCCAACCCCCAAGCGACAGTGCCTATCAACCAAGGCAAAGATGGCTTGGGGGGCATGTGGGAAGAATGTATAACCATGCCAGACATCCCAGATACAACTCCCCTTCAGAGATGATATGTTCACTCCCCCATGTTCCCTTGAAGCGGTAGATGTAGGTGGCATTTCGCACTGCGGTGGAAACGAAGCACACTCTGTGTAGGATACAACGTGGGAAGTCTCCTAGTCAATTGCAGGTCAGCATATGTAGCACCACATCGACACAAGTCGGATTAAAAAGAAAGTCCAGTTGGGATGCTACATCTCTCTGCGCCTACCATGATGTGTAGAAACAAAACCAATCTTACTCATCGCCAGCATGATCTCACCCGACATGATCTCACACATCGGCCCAGCTCACTCCGCGTTTGCGGCCGCCCGGATCGTCTCGAGGTCCTGCTGCATGCGCCAGTGGCCAGATCCCTTCAGGCGGGATGCATCATAGAAGGCCTTGTGTTCCTTGGAGCCGGACTTGGAGTAGAGGACCTCGATCGCGTACATGTCCTCGTCCTTGCCGCGGATGTACTGGTACATCATCAGGGGTGGCAGGCATGGCCAAACCACGGTTCGGCAGAACGTGCCCAACTTGATCATGTTGCAGAAGCTCTGGGGGTTCGCCTGCGGAGCGGTAATGAACTTGTGCGCCACGATGGCAAGCTCGCCGATGGGGCTAGCCATGATGACAGGGGAACTTTTGGATGGGCCTAACTGGTCACTATCGTCAATGGCTGGCAAGCACTAAGCATCACACGCTTGGCCGTCACAACAACGATGCATACCCAGCTTTAATTGGCAATGCGTGCAACTGCAATCGCACATATGCATCGTCTATTTTCAACCCTGCGTGAACAAGCTCGTGCTGCCTCACCATGAGCACTATGTTAGCAACTTCAGTACAGCTGAACGAGCAGGTACAGCCTGAGCTAACTACCGCCTACTCAGCATTGGCGGCCGCCCGGATCGTCTCGAGGTCCTGCTGCATGCGCCAGTGGCCAGATCCCTTCAGGCGGGACGTATCGTAGAAGGCCTTGTGTTCCTTGGAGCCGGACTTGGAGTAGAGGACCTCGATCGCGTACATATCCTCGTCCTTGCCGCGGATGTACTGGTACATCATCAGGGGCGGCAGGCATGGCCAAACCACGGTTCGGCAGAACGTGCCCAACTTGATCATGTTGCAGAAGCTCTGAGGGTTCGCCTGCGGAGCGGTAATGAACTTGTGCGCCACGATGGCAAGCTCGCCGATGGGGCTGGCCATTGCCAATCACGAGTCAGGTCACTTTGAGAAAGTCAAAACAATGGGATCCCTAATGCCGACGGCATGCAAAGAGGGATGGACCATGGACTTACAAATCATCATGCAGCACCAGCACGTTTGAATTTCGAATGGTGCGCTCTTTAATACCATCATGTGGTGATCAAACGCTTGCGTCTGACTGATGCTCAGGAAAGGAAGCTGTGCAGCTACAACCTTTTTGCCCGTCAAAACTGGATACAGGAACTTTTTGTACATGTACAGAAACCTATGTGTGCTGACGGAGACTCAGCTCACTCCGCGTTTGCGGCCGCCCGGATCGTCTCGAGGTCCTGCTGCATGCGCCAGTGGCCAGATCCCTTCAGGCGGGATGCATCATAGAAGGCCTTGTGTTCCTTGGAGCCGGACTTGGAGTAGAGGACCTCGATCGCGTACATGTCCTCGTCCTTGCCGCGGATGTACTGGTACATCATCAGGGGTGGCAGGCATGGCCAAACCACGGTTCGGCAGAACGTGCCCAACTTGATCATGTTGCAGAAGCTCTGGGGGTTCGCCTGCGGAGCAGTGATGAACTTGTGCGCCACGATGGCAAGCTCGCCGATGGGGCTAGCCATGATGACAGCAGAGTCTCCCGGCACAACTTTGTTTTTAGCTTGGCAATCTGAACAGTTGCGGAGAAGTTGTGTACATGCTCAACAATCAACTCATCAATCTGGGCATTGCCTCATGCATGCACTACCTCCCGGCCCATGCCTGAAAGCAGGAAATCTGAATACGTAATTAGCCCTCGGCCCGGAAGCTTTATACCTTGTTCTGTCATGAACCTACTCAAGCGGGACAGCGGCTTTTGTGGCCATGCCTAAGAAATTAAGCGCTACTGTGACCCGAGCACAGGTACGCGAATTCCTGTAGATATGAGCAAGCAGTTTTTGCCTGGAATGGCGCTGCCTACTTAACGATAGAGCATACATCTACGCACTAATTGGGGGCTCCAGTTAGGATGAGCCACGCGATAAGTTGCCTACAAGAACGTGCCAAGTATCATAGCTTCTGGAACACATGCAAGCCGTGTACAGCAAGAAAAGTTCAACTGCAGGTCCGTTTACCTTCCATTATTGGAAACGGCCTCAATATCCTGTGAAATTCCGTTCTACCAATGGAGTGACAATACTGAGAAGCCTGCCCTTGAATGCCCCCCCGTTTGGGGCAACCAAGATGGTTGCGGATGCGGAGTTCTATACCCGCTCCAATAACGTGCGACTTGCCGTGGGCAGTAGTGGGGGGAAGCATTGATACTACCGAGCCACTACACCAGACTCAGCCAGGCATCTGATTTTCAAAACGACCCAGACCCAGATCTCCCCGTGGCCTTGCCGAGCACCAGGTACTTGATGTTCTCAGTGCAGGGCGGCACCTTGTTCTGCAGCATTTAGGGGTTTAGAATTTAGGGGTGTAGGGGTTTAGGGTTTAGGGGTTTAGGGTTTCGTGGCCACTAGAGCCACGAACATGCTAAGCCATTGAAAACGGCTGGTCATATAGGGGATTTTGGGATTTGGGGTTATATTGGGGTCATGTAGAGGTTATTTTGGGGTTATATTGGTAGGTTCACTCTGTGACCTTCAGACTGTTGAAAGACAGGGCAAGCCTGACACAAGCTCACCCAAACTCAAACGAAATTCTAGCCTGGCCTCTGAACCAGACAATTTCCTCTGTGGCGCTTCGTCGTGACAACCATGCCTTCGCATTTATGCCTTCGACCATTTCTGATAACGGGAGCACCCTCTCTGATGTGCCCCAAGCAAAAGGGCTCCTTTTTATCGGAAGGAGGGCCCATGATTTTGCGAAACCTCCTTCTGAACGGAACCTAGGGCATTCAGAATTTCCCAGGCAAAGTGTTGTATAAGATATTGCCCCCCACCTCCATCACACCAAGAACTTATATGCGGTGTAATACTGTAAGCAGGCCATCTCAAGAAAACCCCATGCAATTGTCAAGCTTGTACTATTACTAGACAGGACTCTGCTCACGCGTCCTTTGCAAAGGGTACAACTGAAGCGTGCTAACGTGTGTTACAGCGGTCCAAGGAGCCATCGCAGACGTATCAGTGAGCATGAAAAGTGGCTTGAAAGACCCATACTTGTGACATGATGCTCCAGAACCTCCTAGACATCGCCTCGCTCTGAATTGTCATTTTGGGCCGATTGCCTGGCCCAGGCAATCACCAATGATCCTTGTAGCACCAATCAACAAACTAATGCTATGCTTGAAACCTTTACTCACAACCTAGGGGCAATATAGGGGTTATTGAGGGGAAATGTAGGGGTTACACAGGATATAGCTATTGGTCAGCATGGAATCTGCTATGGTATGTATCCCGGACAAGGAAGACTAGCGGACAGTATGCCCGCGTAGGACGCCAGGGCTCAGACTAGAGGCCAGTGCACCTTTGGGGATGCATTGCAAAGTTGTTTCTTGGACGGATACCCGAACCCTGGATAAATCCTAAACCCTAAACCCCAACCCCAAATCCTAAGCCCTGGTACATTGCCTCTGGGATTCCCAGATATCGAGGCTCCGGCTGGAACGGATCCCTCATAGTGGTAGGTTGCGCCAGACACAGCAGCCTGAATCAACTTGGGATCTCTGCGTTTCTTGGGTACCATTTAAAAGGAGTGTAGGGGGGATACAGGGATACATGAGGTCTAAGGACCATATAAGGACATATGGGATTTGGCCAAAATTACGGTACCCTTCTGGGGGTCTCATAATAAGGATTCTATAGTATTTTGGGATCTAAATTGGGGTCCCCATATTTGGGACAATGGGCTCCTTGATGGGTGTAAACATTTCGGCCAAACAGCTTTCACATGCTCTTTGTAGTCACGGAGCTACAAACACAGGTCCTGCTGTGGAAAACAGATGGGCATACATGAGCCCTGGACTAAATTTGTAGTATATCACTTAATAGGTCCCCCAAAAATCCTAATTAGTCCCCTATACCCCAAAACCTGAATTTAGTCCGCAGCTCACAGGCATGAATCATTCTGAAAGCCAGCAACTGCGGGATTTCTCTGTAAAAAATACTGCCCCTCCCCCCTCTCACCATTATTACTGTTACTACTGTTATTACCAGTGTTATTGCTATTGTTATTACTATTATTACTATTGTTATACTATTATTACTGGTGTTATTAGTTATTACTACTATTACTATTGTTTTGAATATTATTGCTACTACTATTACTATAATTTCTGTCATTACTCTCAGTGCTCAGCAACTATAAGCAAGGTCGTAGGGCATGGACATGAATAACTCATTCTGACAAACAAAGCTGCAAAGCGTTGCGCACCTACCAACAACCCAGACAGTGCTCTAAATATCCCAAGTCCGTCGACCGAAGCTGTGGAGGCCCTGACTATCACAACGCTCCTAAGCTGAAGTAACAACAGCCTTTTAACTTGAACTCCACACAGAAACATCCAACCCAACTAACAAAGTCCAAACCACAGCTGCGGGAAAATTAACCCCAACATGAGCTCGATACCCCAAACCCTGCGAAGAGCTACAAATGACGGCCGGTGCCATTTTCGGCTGGGATGCTCTTAACTGTTTAGGGTTTAGGGATTTAGGGTTTAGGGTTTAGGGATTTAGGGTTTAGGGTTTAGGGTCTAATACCACCGGTCTCTGGCAAATACCTTCTCCATACCATGGAGATGTTTACGATTGTGGGAGAAGGGCCCTTATTCTTGAAAGGAGGCGATGAGCCAATTTCAGGAGCGAGGGGCAGATTTTGAATATTATTTGAGGGAAGTAATTCGACACCTACACCCCACACCCAAAACCTCCTTCCACATCACGCCTGAAAGAACTGCTACACTCGCATCAACTGCAAAGCCATCACAAAGCGCAAACCGTAAACTCTTGTAGGCTCTTCCGTGGGTAATGTGTGCAGATTGACTCTGAACCCTTATTCGTTTCCATCTGAAACCCAAAACCCTAAACCCCTCAACCCCTTAACCCTAAACCCTTAAACCCTCAACCCCTAAACCCTAAACCCCTACTGGCCAATCCTCATGCAACCCCTAAACCCTAAACCACTACACCCTTAAACCCCCAAACCCCTAAACCCCAAGCCCTGGGGTCCTTGAGCTCCTGCGCAAGGTCCACGTAGTGCGGCAGCGGCCAAGAACTGTGAGCTTCCATCTCGGGGCCATCCTCCAGAGTCCGCAATCCCCAGGGGGCCCTCCTTGTACCCTTAATTAGGGGTATATGGTCCCTAACAGTGGGTATTTAGGGGTATATA